TTTTTTTTTTTTTGGTATGGATTCTTAGGTAAGGCACATGGGCGAATGTTTGAAACTAATTTCCTGATCTATATAAAGTGTGATTGAAAATACCTCATAGAGCATGTAGTCTGGTGTATACATAATGCTTCATAGAGAACAGTTTTTGTTAATCTTAGGTTTCCTCAGAGGTCCTCTTGCTCTAGGCTCTTTGGGGCCTGTCCTTATATGCACAGTCCACCTCATAAATTTCTCCTGTCAAAGTCACCATCTTGCCAAGTTCAGTTACCTCCTATGTGACACATCATTTGGTCAGTTGAGAGCACTTCCACCTTTCTGAAATGCTTTCCATACCTGGTTCTGAGGTCATTTCCCTTGGTTCTCTCACTTTTTTTTTTAACCCCCCCTTCCAGTGGTGTGGGTTAAATTCAGCACCTTGCACATCCTAGGCAAGCACCCTACCACTGATCTATACTCCCAGCCTCTCTTACTTCTTGATCTACCGGTTCTTCTTCCTTTTCCTGACTTTTAAATTGTGGTCTACCTTAGGACTCAGTCTTTGGTTTTAACCAAAGACTTCTACACTGGCTCCATATGAGATCTTGTCCAGTCCCATGCTTTAAATAGCAAGTTTAAATTCAGATTTTTATATCTATATTCTTAAAATCTCCCCTTACATGTCTAGTAGCCATTGGAAGCTTGCATGTCCAAACTGAATACTTGATATCCTCTGTACTGAGTGCTCTGACCACTAATCCTACCCAGAGATAAACCTGCTCTTTCTGTGGTAGTCTCTCAATAAATGGAAGCTCTTTTCTGCTGGGTACTTGGGCAGAAGTCTGGTGTTCTTGAGTCCGGCAGCCAATCCTGTAAGTTCTGCCTTAGAGCATACCCAGAATTTGATCACTGCTTACTACTCTTTCATTAAAGTTTCCCTAGTGCAAACCACCAAAATCTCTTGTTCCTTTTAATGCAATACCCTTTTAACTCCTTGCTTTTGTCCTTATCTCCTAAGAGTATTTTTTCTTCTCAGTAGCTTCAGGCAGTGGCTTTTCATTCCAGGTATTATGGTTCATCTTGATTGTCAACTTGTTTGTATTGAGAAGTGCCCAAATAATTAGTAAAGCATACTTAGTGTATGTCTGTGCAGGTATTTTCCAGGGAAGATTAAGGGGAGAAGACCCATCTTCAAGTGAGCTGCTCTGCTCTCCTCCCATCTGGAACCATGACCAAAATAAACTCTTCCTCCCTTAAGTTGTTTTGCTCAAGTACTTAGTCACACTGATGAAAAACACAGAGAGAAACAACCCAAGTCCTCACTGTGATCCACATGGTTTTATGGGATCTGTTCTCTTGCCTACTCTCTGACCTTCTCCTAGTTCTAATAGGAAACTGATGCCACACCCAAAGTAGGATAATTTAAGGAGGATTTCTTTTCAAAGGAACTTTTACAAAAGTGTAGGGTATCACAAAAGATGGTGCAGTAGTCTAAGAATGGGCATCTGAGGGGGGTTTGGTTAGTGGAATTTGGAAAGAAGTTGAGTAGAGAAGACCAACCACCTTGATACGAGCAGTGATTTTAAAGTGAAGTATACAACCAGTCAGGGATGATTTCTGTCCTTCCTTTGGTCTCCTCCTGGGGCTCTTCATATGTATGGGTTATTTTTTATGACTGTTTTAACAATCCTGGAGGCCACAGTTTGAAAAGGATTTTTGTAGACCAAAATTGAGGTGGCAGCAAGCCACATTCACTTTGGAGGCTATAGGTGAGAATCTGCTTACTTGCTGTTTCCTGCTTCTTTTGCTGTATCTCTTAGCCAGTGCCCCCTTCTGTCTTCAGAGCCCAAACCAGAGCATTTTGGTGTTTATTGTTTGTTGCCTTCTGCTGTTCTTGTGAAATCTGCCTCCCTTTTCTAAGAATTCTTGTGATTTCATTCAGGGACCAGAATAATTAACTTAATCATATCTCCACAGTCAGTTTGTCATACAAGGTAACACACACAGGTTTCAAGAGTAGGGCTTGGATATTTTTGGGGGCCAGTTTTTAGCCTGCCATAGGCTGAACCCATCTAGAAGCCCAAGAGTACAAGAGTCTGATTTGGCTTATACAGGTCAGCCTTAGAGCAGCAGGTAGAAAGTAACCAGAACAGCTGCCTGTCTCCCCTCAGTCAGCTCCAGCTATACCAACTCATTCTTTGACCTAAGCATACCGACCTAAGCTCACCCTTGCTTTAGGGCTTTGTATTTTTTTGATTAGTGTCCCCACTAGACTGGAAGTTCTGTTCATTAGGGAATTTTTCTGCTGTGTTTGCCATCTTTTCCTCAGTGCTTAGGACAGTGACTAGTCTTGATAAATATTAATCATTGAATGGAGCCTGTGTAGTGTTAACGCCTCCTGCTCCACGATGCCTAGGGGATACACTTTTTGCTTTTTGTAATCTGCTCTCTCCTTCCTTTCACAAATATACTTCAGCCAGACCAACTATTTGTGTTCCCCCAAAACACACAGATATTTTTGCTTTGTTTTTTTTTTGTTTGTTTGTTTTTGTTTTTTCCCATTCAGTTCTCCCTGAAATAGTCTGCCTTTACTTGCTTTTCCTTCCTATCTCTAACATCTTGTCCATGAAGTAACCTTGGTTCTCACTACTGGGTGTGATGTTTTTCTTCTCTGAGTTCATGTGGGACTTTGTACTCTTCCCCCTGAAAAAAAAAAAAATCTCTCTCATTGCCATCCATACATCTTTTCTCTCCCCCTTCTAGACTATAGGTTTCTTGAGGGCAGGACCTCTGTATGATTTGTCTTTCAACCCTACAATTCTCTTCACCTGGTTGAGACCAGTAACTATTTGCTGTTAAGCTGTTAACCACATTTTGTTTTCATTCATGCAGTCTGGTACAGAGTCACATTGTTTAAAAGTACTAGTCTTTGTTTCTTGCAGGATGGGGGGAAAATGAAAATAAATACAGGCTGGCTTGAATTATGTACTGTCTGAGAGTGAGTGCTTCCCTGTCTCCCTTAGCTGTTCAGGGCAACAATGAAGTGTCCATGTGGGACATGGAGACTGGTGACAGAAGACTCACTCTGTGGGCCAGCAGTGCACCGCCGCTTTCCGAGCTACAGGTTTGTCTCCAGCTTTCAAAGTGAAGGATGATGTTCACATCCCAGGCATATTCAGGCATTTTTAGCAAACCTGGTCTCTTTGGGGTCTTTAGTAACATCAGGGTGGCCATTGCTAATGGATGTTTTCCAGTTCCTGGTTCATTGAATGTTTTGGTTGCTGACTCCATAAGGCTTGTGAGCTGTCTTTGGAACCCTCAGAGACCCGGGTTAATTGGGCAAAATGAGAATTGAAGTTTAGAGGGCCCTGACTTAGGATTTTTTTTACTTTATGATGATGGTGCAAAAGTAATACATATTCTGTACCTTGATCTTTTGCTGGGCAGTGATCTGTAGCTTAACAGTCAGATACTAGGTAAATAGCCAGTAGTCTAGGTGAGGTGTTAAGTGCATTTTCAACTTACGAATTTATTAAGATGTTACCTCAACATAATTATCTGTTTTTAATAGTCACATTGCCATGGTGCCTCATTGAAGAAAGCTTCAGGAAGCTTAACAGGCAACACTCTGTGTTTAAAGTACAGTTGCTTTGTATGATTCTAAAGATGATGTATGTAAGAGGTGCCTAAAAAGCTCTAGATGCCTCCCAAACTAGTACCATCATTTATGGACTACATCGATGTCTTATTTGACTCCATATTTCTTTCTTTCAAGCCTTCTCCTCACAGTGTTCATGGTATCTACTGCAGTCCTGCAGATGGAAATCCTATCCTGCTAACAGCTGGCTCAGACATGAAAATAAGGTGCAGTATCTCAAAGAATATTCTGTACCTAATAAATGGGTGTGCATTATGGTTTGTGAAAGGTATAACATCACTGCCTTGTAATTCAAGTTATGCTGTTGGTTCTTGAAAAATTTTACCCTAATGCATAAGAAAATAATGCATTGATGAATATCACCATTTATTTTTCTCTAGGTTTTGGGACTTAGCTTATCCAGAAAGGTCCTATATTGTGGCAGGAAGTACTAGCTCTCCATCTGTGTCCTACTACAGGAAAATAATAGAAGGCACTGAAGTTGTCCAGGTATGATACTCTGGGAGACAAAAATTTCATATGTGATATGTATTTACTTCTCCCCAATAAGTTCTTTCCCCTTTTTATATTAATAAAAGTTAAGCCTATTTATAAGTGTCCCATATTTGTAAATGGCAACTGAATGCACTGTGGACTCTCTTTGCCCAGTATATTTGTGAAAGCATGACTATTTCACATGAGGTGTTAGAGATGAGAGGTAGGATGTGGTATAATTTAACTTCTGACTTTCTCACATAGGAAATTCAGAATAAGCAGAAGGTAGGATCAAGTGATGACACCCCTCGAAGGGGCTCAGAGTCTCTGCCTGTGGGACATCACGACATTATCACAGATGTTGCCACCTTCCAGACAACTCAGGGCTTCATAGTGACTGCTTCTAGAGATGGAATTGTAAAGGTGTGGAAGTAAGCCTTGTATAAATTGTAAAATACACTGTGGCTCAACAAAAAGAATTTCTGGAGAACAAAATTTTCATAATGTCTGTAGTAACTGTTTCAAGTCTAAAACCCACCCAGAGTGGTTAAGGAAGTTGACTTTACTACTTTATTCATGCGTGTCTCTGCAAGACAACACTCTGGGGTGGTTAGAAGTTAGAAATGTAAAGTGAATGTGATCTCGGTTTTAAGTTATTGTAAAGTTTTTGTTATTAAAAATTCTATTCAAAGTAAACTATATTCAAGCATTCCAAGAGGTTTTGTGTTGTGTTTTCAAATAGTAAATGTAAGGGAAGAAGCGCTCCAGCAATCCCACTTCTGAAGAAATGGACCGTCTCAGGGATTAGTGACAACTGGGCCTATCTTGTTGGACTCCACCATCACATCCTTCTTCCTGCATGGCAGCTTGCACTAGCCAATGTACAAAAGAGAAGAAGGACCAAATTTAAAACCCCTCATGGCAGTGATTGTTCTTTGTATAGAGACCTTATTCTCTCTCCATACGTGTTGTTCAGAATGACTAAAAAACCAAAAAGGTGAATAATCTTGAGTCTGGGGAACATACTTATTGTTAAATACACCAAGAAACAGTTATGTTTTGCTTGGGTTAATCAGAATTTCCTGAAAGGTCAAGTCAGGAAGTGATGGACTCTGATTAGACCATAGAGCTTTGTAGGCTTTGCAGCTCTGTCACGGTACAGTGCCTGTTTCCCTTTAAGTGTGCTAAGACCATAGCTACAGGGTGTCTGGCTAAGTCGGCTTTGTTGTCTGCAGGGGCTAGGGAAACTATGATACATAAATGGTTCCGAGGAGAATGGGCTTCAGACTTGGAGCCAATTACATGAGCAGATGGCATGGACTAACAGTCACAACACCACATTTAAAAAGGTTATTTGGTTGAATGGCTACTGAGTTTTACAGTATGCCACGTTGTCATATCTTCCTGACTTTTTTAAACAAGTTTGACTCATAGCTCAGTGCAGAGATAATAGCAGGCAGGTCCATCACAGTCAGTCAGTTTTTTTCTTACCTTGGTTTTACGACAAGGTCTTGCTATGTAGTCCAGGCTTGCCTCTAACTCTTGATCCTCCCAAGTGCCAGGATTACAGATAATATACAACTGTAACAGCTAAATTAAACCAGGAAATATCACTAATTTGTGTGTTTCTTGTCTTAAATACAATCTTATTAAACTTATATTCAATTTAATATTTGCAACATACTTCAGACCCTTCATCTGTGAATGATGAAAACTGTTACCCAAAAATGCTAAAATAATCTCAGTCACCAAGGGAGTATATTTGTTTGGTGTACTTTACTTGCCAACACAGTAAAAAAAAGTACATTTTCAAAGTATTTCCAACAGTAAACAGAAGAAAGTTGTTTGGGTTAAGCACAAAGTTAATTAGAAAAGTTACTATTTTATTGCTCGCCAGTTTCCTGCACTGGAAACAAAATTTCCCTGCAGCCAAAGCACCATTTAGGATAGATGAGACTCAGACCTGCTGGGCTGCGTGCTCCTCTGTTACCTGAGTGTGAGTGTGGCAATTAATTCCTTGGACTCTTTGCTCCTTTGAAGGCACTGGAAGCTAACTCCATGGAGTTGCCTAAGTAAGGATGGTAGAAGTGGTTAAAAAACACTGCAGATGGCTCTTGGTTCCAGGCTTTATGGAAAGGAGGTACAGAGAAGAAACTGAATGTACCCAACTGGTCTTTGGTGTCAGTAGCTACTACCCTATGTCTCCATGCCAGGCTCACCCTTCCTTCTGAAGACAGTGCCATTCTGCCTCACAGAGACATTGTTACCACTTGCAGAGCCCAACTGTAGTCTGAGGTAAGGTCTGAATACTGTGTCTAAAGAAATAGTGCTGCTTTGGGGTTTAGCTGTTGAAAATATCAGCTCCATCATAAAAACTGAATGGGAGAGAGGAGACGAAGTCTCAGAGAATGCTGTAGAGGCTGGGGACTTTCCTATTCCTGCTCTAAGGTACTCTGATCTACTTCTTCAGCCCATATGAGTCTGTAGATTAGAAAGCGTTTCTTACCTTTTCCAGTCTCAATGGTCATTTAAGGCTCTTTCTCTGCCAATCCTGTTTTGGTGCTGTTCACTATTGACTCAGCTACTTGGTATGCAGAAATAAGTCAGAGCCTCACCCATGACAAGTGGCTTTACTCTTGTCTAAAGGATATGGGAATTAGTTTTTTAAAAAAAAGCCATAACAGGGAAGAAAGACCAGCAAGTCACCAAAATGGCTGGGTAGAAAGTTCTGTAAACAAGATAGAACTTCTAGCTCAAAAGCAGTGATTTATGATCTAGGAGAATTACTGAGTTTCTCTGAGTTTAGGAGGATATAGAGCTGGAGAAAACTACCCTCTGCTTCTCATTAGTCCAAGCAAACAGCTGCAGAAGGTGAGAGATAGCCTTCCAACACAAGCCCATCTAAGGATCAGCCAGTCCACACTCCACACTCACACAGTGCTGTGCTTAAAGGGAACTGTGACAGAAGGTGAGATTTCCAAAAACATGACATACACACAGCATGAACTTCTGAGGTCAATTTTGGAGTGGCCCAAATCATTGAAACCTTTGATTACACAGATGTGCACTGAGCAGTACTACATTAAGAAAGGAGGTTTGGGTTGTAAAATCAAAATTTGCATTGGCCTGTGTACACACAGTCATACATTATATAGAACTTCATTTCAAAACACATCTCCGGTAGACTTTTAAAAACACTGCTTTGATTCTTCCATTTTCTAATGACAGCAGCTCTTTAAACATATCAGTTGTAGAGTGTTGGAATTGTCAGTAGGGGCCAAACAGTCAAGATACAGCTTAGTACCAATTCATGCATGGGGTCAAATTACCTGATAGTCTACCACCTGTGGCTTGTTCATCCCTCCAAAGTGGACCTCCAGCTGCAGGCAGATACCCAAGAGTTCTGGAGTGGATGTGGTTATATTTTAAGTCCAGAGTCTTACCATGGTTCCTACGGCTAAATTGTTCAGACACTTCCTTTATCATGTTGTTTGAGGGTAGCTTTTACCATCTTTTTTTCATTTTTAAAGATATGGAATGTGCTTCTGGGAACATTTTGAATAGCATCTCTGCCACCTCTTGCTACTCTTGAAAGGTGTTTTTTATCTTGGAAGAATTTTGCCTCCTTTAATGCGTCTTTGAGGGCAGCTTTCTGTCGTCCAGGAACAAAGCTATACGACAAAAGAGAATATAGAAGATAAATGTTACCACATCAACTTTAACAGACTCCACATTAATCTTTCTTCCTAAATTACTTTTTGTACCCATTTCCTTGTATTTATCCTCTAGGATAGTTTCCTTTTTTTTAAGATTATTAAATGAGATTTACACTGGTCATATATCACAAACTGACAGAGACATCTTGTTAATCTATGCAAAAGTATAATTTCAACAACAAAATTTCTTCATGAAACATCTTCCACTTGGATTTTCCTGTGGTTGATCTTTCTGGTTACTCAGATTTGGAATCAAATGGTACAATGAGGCCATCACACCTGTACTTTTCCCAGTTACACCCCACTGTATCACTCAACATAGCATGCCTCTATCTTCTTCATAACTCTTTGTGACTCTTTACTTACTTGTAAACTTATTTCTGATCTGTTCTCCACTCTTTTACCCATCCAGACAGAAACTCAGTTTCATGAGACCTTGTCTGTTCACATAATCCTCAGTACTTTTCTAATAAAATTATGAATATATGCCACTCCCTCCTTTCTTCCCTTCTTCCCATTTGCCCATCCATCCAAATGTTTGCTGCCTGCTCTGTGAAGAGGCACAGTGGGCAACAGACAGCCCAGTCTAGCAGATACATAATGAGCCTGGTTGGGAATCTTGAGACACCCAATAGCAGATGAGAGCTAGGGTCAGATTCTGGCCTTGAATTCCAGGCTGAGAAATCAGGGAATCACAGAAGCCAAGTGGTAACTAGAAATTCTACTCCATAAAACTTTCTGAACTAATGAAAACGTTCTATATTCCTCCCTGGTCAGTATGGTAGCTGCTAACTACATGTGGTCATTGAGCATGTGAAATGTGATTAGTGTGACTGAGGAACTGAGGTTTTAACTTAAATTTTAATTGATCTAACCAACCACATCTAGCTATAGGCTGTTCTGGGCAGCGGAAGAATGAAGCCATTTCAGACAGCCTTGTTTTACAGGAATGTGGTAGAATGAACCTTGTATCCAAAAGCTTATTTCAGCCCCTTCTCTTACCAGCTGAGCAGTTCTGAGCAAATCACTTAGACTGATTCTTGTTTCTTCAGGTGTAAAAGGGGATTAAAAACAACCCATGTTGTGTGAACACCAAATGAAGTCTCCTAGTCTACTTAGCTAGTCATGGTGGTCTGTGAGTTACAGATGAGGAAATGGGTGCATAGAGGTGACAGTCAATGGCAGAGCTGGGGCTACATCCCAATTTTTCTGAGACTCTGAGTCCAATGTTACTGTCACCGAATGTGGAAAACAATGCATATAATTTGGAATAGGATGTGAAATGGCAAATGCCATGCTACAGAAGCACCTGGATATGGGTCTAGAAGCACAGGAAGGCAGATGGCTGGACAGGTACAAAGGTCTGAGGAACCTGGCATACAGCAAGCTCTTCATAAGTGTTTGTGACAGCCAGGTGGCATAAGAAGAGGTCATCCATACTGATAAACTTCAACAACTAGCTGAACGTGATCAAGGGAGGATTCATAAGAACTTTCTAGTGTTGAGATCACAAGAACAGCAGAAATATTCACTGTAATACATTTCTTTATGCTTTTCTGTTCTCACTAGCTATAAAAATCTAGAAAGTACAGTGGAAAAATAGAAAACATTTCAAGTTTTTCACTTCTCTCTACAAATGTACCCCTCCCACCCCCCACCCCCCATTTTCTTTCATCTATGAAGAGTAAAGATGAAGGAAACAACAGCAAAGAGAACTGTGCCATTCGTGTTACTCCCCATGTGCCTGGGCTTCTAAACTCAGCTCTCCAAGTGCTATCAGATCACAAAGTTGGTCAATCTTCAAGTTACAAGAAGAGCAGCTATGGCTAAAATGCAGAATTTCCTCACACTTCCTGTATTATTAATTTTCAGACTGAATATTATTCAAAGTCCCCACTGCCTGTATGCACAGAACAAGGCTCCACTGGTCATGGGGAGGGCCATTCTTTTGAGATTGGGGCACACTGTTTTCATGGCTTGGTTATCTAACTTTATTACCTATACTCTTTGTCCCTTTCCTTTTTTTTTTTTTTCTTTCATGGCACTTTTAGCTATTTTTGTTTAAAAAACCATGAAATTGGCAACTGCTTCTAAACATGATACTGCTATCTTTTCCCTCCTCAAATATTCTTATGCTCAGAGGGGTCAAACATGTTAAACGCCCTATCTTTGAATTTCCATTTTTTCGCTGTGTCTGGCATAGGAGCTTGTGTTTGATAAGCATCATTTGATTACCCAGTTTCCTTTCTTTGTTTGCTGATTAGCAACTCCAACAGATATTCAAGACAGAAAAATTAAGATGAAATAGTCAACTCATTTAGCAGCTTGTGCCCAGCTCCAGTAAAGCTTGTGGAAAGAATGATGTGAATTCTAGAAAAAATTGGATGGGTGGGATTAATGGTAGATTTCAGCTCTCTGCCCACAATTTTCCCCTCTATGCAGATAATTAGTTGTCATTCACGCCACATTTACTAACTGACTGGATGCACTGGAGTAGAAAATGCAGATGACATTGCTGCTGTGACCACAAAACACGCTTTGGAAAGCACACTAGCAACAGATGTGTTATTCTTATGGCAGTGGTGACTGTCCAGTTTCACAATCACAATTCCATTTTTCTGGCTCTGGCCTGTCACTGCTTTAGATCCTGGGTCAAGAGTTTCCCTCAGTGGATGAAGCAACATGCAGGTGACTTTCTGACTTCTCTGAACTGAGGGAAGCACTTATCCAAAAAGCTGCACTGCAGCCTTGCTCTTGGGCCATCTGTCTCCTTGGCGGCTGTGGTTAGATTTGGTTTCTCTCCTTTCCATGGGATGACAGCCAGCTTCTGTGTGTCTTCCTCAGAATCTCATGCAGAGTGAGTGATCTCATTTCTATTCTGCAGACCTAGTAAGTCATCTATCTTGGCCAGACCTCCTGCCTAGCAGGCAGTCTCTCCCCCTCAATCCCATGTGTTCAGTTCCGCCTCACTTCTCATGAAAGGCTCAGGCAGGAAGGTGCAGAAGCGGCTGTATGACTCAATACCTTTTATTACACTCTGGTCACTTAGATAAGGCCTGGGGAGACCCAGGCTATTATACCATCTGGGAGCTCACAGACAGTGGGGTGAATTTCATATCTCAATTCCTTCATGCCCCAGCTGTTGGACCATTTCAGAGTCAAAGGAGAAACTGAGCTTCCTGTGTATCTAGGGCACTGTGGAGATGGGGGAAGAAACTCCCTGTCCAAAAGCCGAGTGGATTCCCTCTTCCCACTCATATTACTCTTCAAACGGAACACATGGGGTGGTGGAGAGTGCCTTCCAAAAATACCTACTGGTTTGTAAGGTGGCTCTGGCATCTGCCTTTGCAGTCACGACTGGCTATGTCAACGTGGAGCCCAATGCAAACCCCAAATTCAAGCCCGTAGATAAAACAGGAAAAAAAGCTTTGTTCTGTCGTCTTTCTCCACCCGTGCCACAGAGGTTTTTCATTTGTTGTGATATTCAGCTCCCTGGCGTAGAGATTCTCACAAAGCAGTATAGACCCCACCTCATGACCTGGCCTGTGAGGCAGCTATGGAATTCCTCCTCCCACCAACCTTGAGACAGAGGGCCCAGACCAGGCATCTTCTTTTTCCTTAGTTGGCCATATGAACTCACAACAGAGGAGCATCCCCAAGAATGTCACTACCTCTTTGCTGGGACACACCGGGTACTTAGACGGAGGTGGGCAAAAGGCAACTGTCCTGTGCCACCGCCAGCTTGGAGTAGGAGGCTGCTGCCTGACCTCCAATGCTCTGAGAGTGTCTGACCCCAAGCCTCCCTGCTGAGGAGGGAGAGGAAGGAGGAGACCCACGCAGCCACAAGGTGCCAAGTGTCTGAACGAAGAGGTCTTGCAGAGGCAGCAGGAGGTGGGATGACCAGTGAATGGAGGCTCCAAGCCCTCACCACCCATCATGTCCCATTGGATCTCACTTAGAAAACAAATTCCAAAGTGACATTACTAATGAGTGCAGAGCACTAAACCTCAAGT